AACGCCCGGGTCCATCAAGATACTACTGACTTAACTTGATCAACTGAAACTGATCTTCGTGATTCATGGGGCTCACTGCAAAACCGATAAGCTTATAAATGAATGACAAACTTGAACAGTAGGTCGAGTCAAGAGCACGAGGTTCGTTTATCCATTGGGTTCAGTAGTTTGGTGTTTTTGTTTTTCTTCTCACCTATCACCCATTCGAATAGCGATTGTGTTTGTCTGAGCCTACACTAACAGTCCAGATTCTCCGTTTTCATTGGGTTGTAAATGAGCGACTGGGGTCTNGAAAAATAAACTTGATCCTCCTGTGCTGAAGCCGGTACTGATAATCACTTAATTACGATAAAGGCATGGGTGGAAATTAAATGGGTCATGACAGACACAATCGAAAAGACCGCGAATTCTAGTCGGCCACCCAGTGGGATTAGGCGCACACACGCACACAGCTCGCATTTATGGGTGCACGAGCAAAAGATTTCCGTATAAAACGACGATTTACGCACATAACAACGTGTCCCATTTCAAGACGTCGTAATTGAATAAAAAGCAATTTAGCACTGATATCCATCAATTAGAATCCGCAGCTTCGGCGAAATTAGAATCTACCACTGGAAATAATTAACAGCCTAGCACTGTGCGTACGACCATCTGAATTACGAGCTTTGAACATTTCATCCGAAACTAGCTTTCTGAATTCGATAGTTGTTTGGAATTTACAGCTACTATGCAAGTTGAGCATCACGACACTAATTTTCGGAGCAAAGAATGTGGTTGGTCACTGTTTGGTAGAAAAGATAAAAGATAATTTGCCAAGATAGTTGCACAAATGCGATCGATTGGCAAAGAATTGGTCAAACTTACAAGTGACCTAGCCAAAGCGGAACTTGCCTGATGCGGGGATGGTAAAAGGCTGAGGGGAAGCGTTGGCGGTGGGGGAGTACCGTTCACGGCTTGTTCAATAAGGTACGCTGCTATACAAAACTCATCGCAATTCAGGTTTCCATCACGGTCCAAGTCTGCAAGATTCCTGTGACAAAAAAGCATGATATGAAAAAGCACACGAGCACGCTTACCATATATGAGCCAATATTTGCTGAGAGAGACCGGATTTGATGAAAATACCTCTTGCCTCAACACCGGTAATGAACCCGCGCTTGTTGCGGTCGTGCTGATTGAACAATAAGCGATATTTTGGTCGAGAACTAGGTGACATTGACCAAGCGTCATTCGCGCCGGCCGGAGGGCTTGTATTGGCCGTGTTTGTCGAGAGCACTGGTGAGATGGTGTTAATCGTGGCGCTGTTTGAAGTCACGTTCTGTACACCATTGGAGTGACTTTTATCTGCAAACGGGAAACCAAATTATTGCAGTATCCCATATTTGATGGCAATTAACTTGAGGGGTGGAAGGAAGCTCAAGAAAGATTCTAATGATCCGCACGTCAAACTTGAAGGCCCTAAACAATAGCCTACTCAGACTGCATTGAGATAGATAACCAATCGTAATTATCATTTCTCTTTCGTGGAAATAAACAAAACTACATTAAAATTTCCGACTCTGCATATATTTACCTTGGGTAATACCACAAAGAACGCTCTAACTGTCTCTCCTATGTTACGTAACTTTGGTCACAGTCTAGACACGGATTTGCGTACACCAACCCGGATTGGTGGTGTGGTTCTACGTGGTCCTTGCCGTGGAACAAAATTGACCGCAGTGTTGTTGTAGGTTCGTGGACAATTGTAACACCCGGAGGACGAAGAATGTGATCGGCAGCTTACGATACCCCACGAATGTATGGTATTAGTACATATAGTATATACCTAGTATATCCAATATATATCTACTGTATACAGTAGTATATATACTCCGAATTTCCAACTGGAAAGTGTTCAAAATTCTACACAATCTTACCGTTAGGAGTATTTGTATCCAACGACAGTGAGGATAATGGACTGCGACCAGAGGACATGAACGCGGGTTGTGGATCGGATTTGACACCAGAAGGAAGAGTGGGAGGTAGCTGCATGCCCTCAAGCTTTTTCCTTATCAAGAACATAGCAATGGAAAATTCCTTTTTATCCAGCTTCCCATCTGCATCCATATCTGCCAAAGTCCTCGAAAAATAGTTGATAAATTATTCGTTAAAATTTGTTTACCATATTTGTCCAAGCACCAACGGCTGGAGCCCAGATTTCAGGAAGAAAAGCTTTACTTGCTCGCCTGAACACTCGACGTGATGCAGGAAATAAACACTTACCTGTTACGTAACCATTAACCGGTTTTAGAAACTGGAATTGCGCATCGTGTTTTATCCTCTCATCCGTGGTGATAACCCAAGATTCCCAATCGCCTAAAAAATCAGTTAGAAAAAAATTATTATCACATAATGAAACAGAGCACGTGAAAGTAGTGGACGGTGTAACATGTAAGAAAAAATGCCAGAGCAAACCAGCTGTCATTCTAGGTCGACAAGCACATCAGTGAATGATGTATGAGCATACCGGTTAGTCGGCCGAGCCAGCCATCTCTGGTTATTTCAGTTTTCCTACTTCGCCATCGATGTTACACTTCACCTATCCAGAGCGAAAGCGTCAGCATGATCAAGGTTGGGGTGCCTCGGGTTGTGGCTGGTTGCCCTCCCTTTGCATCTCACAAAATGCTCCCTATATGATCAAACGTTCACAATAGCTTCTGCTGGAAAAGGTCAACTCACCGCTTACACATGGCGAAGATATTTCCCCACTCAAGTGAGAGGACATCCGGGATTATAACGGGGTTGGTTAGTTACTAGCGGTTCACTTAGGAAAAAAGGATAAAAATTTTGGTTCCAAACGAAACAAGAAGAAAAACGCGAATCACAAACACTCACCCCTTATTTATCTCGGGAGAGTAGAGCTGTATGCTACTGAGCCCGTCCCTAGGTCGCGGATACGGAAATGGTCGTCATCTCGGGGTTAACTGTGAATAAGGTGGGCTTAGGCCACCAGAATAAGCGGTTAAGGGGGATCAACGGCAGCGCTCGATGTGGTGGGTGTACTTCCTAGCAGGATTTCTCAGCACAAAACACCACACGTGTGGACAGCGCTGTGACGTGGCGAACGTTGCCCGCCACTAACTATGGTCATCGCCTTGTCGAAATCCATTGTTTGACAAGGTGTACCAGAAGAAACGGATGGACCGAA